CTGCTGCAGCTTCGGCCTCGGCCTCGGCGTCGTCGCCTGGAGCGGGCGGCGGCGAGGCACTGGAGCTGCTGGAGCATTGCGGCGTGTGCCGGGAGCGCCTGCGGCCCGAGCGCGAGCCGCGCCTGCTGCCCTGCCTGCACTCAGCTTGCAGCGCCTGCCTCGGGCCCGCTGCACCCACCGCTTCCAACAGCTCGGGGGACGGCGGCGCGGCGGGGGACGGCGCCGGTGAGTGTTGCGGGGCGCCGGAAGCGGGGTTGGGGGCGCTGGGTGCTTTGTCTCGTGTGGGGATGGGCTCTGCCCCGGGGCATCTGAGGGGGAGGGCGGGGTGTTGGTCCTGGGGGCGACCTGGTGAGCTGCTCTGCCTCGTCTCTCGCAGTCACGGTGGACTGCCCCGTGTGCAAACAGCAGTGCTTCTTCAAAGACATCGTGGAGAACTACTTCATGCGTGACAGCGGCAGCAAGGCTGCCACCGACACCCAGGATGCCAATCAGGTGTGTGTCACTTCTGGAAGGCTTCTGGTTAGGGCAGGCCCCGGGAGGGGTCACTTGGCCAGGAGGAGCCTAGCATCGACACCTGACCGTAACTCCACGTTTGTCTCTGCTGGGGGCAGGCTGCCTTGGCCTGGGCTGGGTGCACTTTGAGGTGGCATTTTGTCCAGTGTAAACGTGCAGGTACTGGGCCGCTCTGCCCTTCCTGAGCCTGTCCTTCCCCAACAGTGCTGCACCAGCTGTGAGGATAACGCACCAGCGACCAGCTACTGCGTGGAATGCTCAGAACCGCTGTGTGAAACGTGTGTGGAGGCACACCAGCGGGTGAAGTACACCAAGGACCACACTGTGCGCTCCACTGGTAAGCGGGGCAGGAGCAGGGGGTGCGGCTGCTACTGATCTTAGGGAGGGAGGTGCTGCAGGCACAGCTAAAGGCTGCTTCTAGAGTAGCTTTCTAGAGGCTAGTGTCCGGAGGGTTTCAAGGGCAAGACTCTTTGAAAGCTGGAAGGGGTCCTGGTTTGTAAACTGGGGGAAGGCCTCGGAGGACCACAGAGGACCTCCGTATGGGACAGGGAGGGAGTCTGGGCAGGATAGTCAAGGGATGTGGTTTGGTGGAATAGGGCCTGCCAGGTAGAGAACAACTTGTGTAGATGGGGAAAGGTGGGGTGTTTGGTGAGGGGTTGCGGTCCTGGGGTTCCCTGGCACCTTTGTTAAAAGTTGTCCTAGGAAAATGTGGCCTTGGGGCCAGGGTACGTTGTTGAGATACAAGGCCACATTTTCCTAGGACAGCTTTTGTCCTAGGAAACAGTCAGTGTCCTAGTAACTATCAGTGATGGCAAGTTCTAGAGGCGCTTTGGTTGTGAAATAGCAACGTTTTACCAAAATTCTAGCTAGGTATTTGTGGATTTTTCTGTGCACATGATTGGTTCTCATGTGAAAAAGTACTTAAGACCGTCATGTATCTCTTAGTTTTTAGTCCAGGATTTCTCTCAGGGTACAGTTTTTCCCAGCTCAGGGGACAGCATCTGTGGGAGGATCATTTCTGAGGAGGTGGCAGAGGGATGGGCATTGGGTCCTGGGTCTTTTTGGAGCTATGCAGCAAGGGAGTGAGAATCAGTAGATCTGAGGTCTGGCACCTTGTGCCTGAGATGTGGCAGGTGCAGCAGGACTTGATTGATGTTTTGAGAAGAAAGGGGGACTTGAACAGCTCTCAAGGGAGGGGGATGGGTTCATGTTGGTTCTTGGGTGGCTTTGCTCTGAGCACTGGGAATCTCTCCTAGAGTAGGCTGAAACAGTCTTTAGTGTCTTAGTCTAACATCTGCTTTGCCTAATTTAAGTAGGCTTCTAACAGCGTGCTTTATGGTTGTGGATTATAAGTGGCTTATGATTCTGGAGAGGAAGTTGACAGGTACGGTTCCTGAGGAAACTGCTTGAAGGAGCTCTCAGGGGTCTTGAGGCCCCTAGTTGGCTTTTAATCCTGCATGAGGGGTCTCTTCCTTTAGTGGACAAACATGTGCTGTGGATGAAGACGAAGAATGCATTATTAGTAGGTAGGCGGGAAGAGCTCTCCGAGTATACCTACCTAGGTAAAAGGTTTTCAGAGGAAATGGGCACAGGGAGGTGTCATTTCTGCCAGAAGTTCTAAAAAATACTGCCTAGCAGCATCAGCGTGGTAGTGACCCCCATGATAGATTGTCAGGGTATCGGGTTTCCTAGGCTTTCGTAGGAGCACATTAGCAGGTCTTTACAGAGCTCTTGGGTGGTTTGCACCATTAAGTCAGTATCTTTTGATATTGGGAAGGCTGACAAGGTATTTCTTGGTCACATTGGGGCAGAGGATGCTGGGAGCAAGGATCGGGTTTACAGAGCTGTGCTCCCTGCCCTCATAATACCGGGTGTCCAGACTTCAAGCCTGCCAGGGGATGCTTAGTGTAGCCCCTGAGGTGTGGGTGGCCCAGGCTTGGCCTCACTGTTCCCACCCCACAGGGCCGGCCAAGACGCGAGATGGTGAGCGTACTGTGTACTGTAACGTACATAAGCACGAGCCCCTCGTGTTGTTTTGTGAGAGCTGTGACACCCTCACCTGCCGAGACTGCCAGCTCAATGCCCACAAGGACCACCAGTGAGTCTCATACTGGCCCAGGGTGGGCGGGATGGGCCAGGGCCTGGTCCTGGTCCTGTGCGCGGTATCCTGTCCTGGCTCCTTCCTCGTCATCGCTCAGGTACCAGTTCCTGGAGGACGCAGTGAGGAACCAGCGCAAGCTCCTGGCCTCGTTGGTGAAGCGCCTCGGGGACAAACACGCAACGTTGCAGAAAAGCACCAAGGAGGTTCGCAGCTCGTAAGTGGGGGCACCAGGGCCCTGGGGGTGACTGGCCCCACTGCTGCCCAGTTTGACTTGCCTCATCCTTGCCTCAGGATCCGCCAGGTGTCGGACGTACAGAAGCGTGTGCAGGTGGATGTGAAGATGGCTATCTTGCAGATCATGAAGGAGCTGAACAAGCGGGGCCGTGTGTTAGTCAATGATGCCCAGGTGCCTGCCCCTGTGCCACCCGGGGTGGGGTCCTGGACACTCCACCCTTGCTGATCCTGTATGTTTCGCACCTCCACCTCCACCTGCCCCTGCCCCTGCCCCTGCCCCAGAGTCCTGGACTCTCCCGACACCCTTGTTGGTTCTGTGTGCCCGCTACTCCCACAGAAGGTGACGGAGGGGCAGCAGGAGCGGCTGGAGCGGCAGCACTGGACCATGACCAAGATCCAGAAGCACCAGGAACACATCCTGCGCTTCGCCTCGTGGGCCCTGGAGAGCGATAACAACACAGCCCTGCTGCTCTCCAAGAAGCTGGTACGTTGGCTAACCCTAGCATGCCCTCGTGGGCTCACTGGTCAGAGCACTCATAGCCCTCCACCCTGGCCTGGCCAGATCTACTTCCAGCTGCACCGTGCCCTCAAGATGATAGTTGACCCGGTGGAGCCACATGGCGAGATGAAGTTCCAGTGGGACCTCAATGCCTGGACCAAGAGTGCAGAGGCCTTTGGTGGGTCCCACTTCCCCCTTCCCCTCTAACCCCAGGCCCTGGGCTGCACCTACGTCATCACTTACTTTTTCTCCTCCGAAGGCAAGATTGTGGCAGAGCGCCCAGGCACCAATTCCACGGGCCCCACACCCATGGCACCCCCGCGGGCCCCTGGCCCACTGAGCAAGCAGGGCCCCGGCAGCAGCCAGGTGAGGGGGTGTGCGGGGGAGGATCAGGGAAGGGGGCACAGGGTCCTCAGGGCCACTGCCTGAGATCCCATCTCTGCCCCACAGCCCATGGAGGTACAGGAAGGCTATGGCTTCGGGTCAGGTGAGTGTGTCAGCCTGGGCCCCGGCGCTACTTGGGGGGAGCTTGGCACTGTTCCTGCCCCAACCTAGTATCCCCTTTCCTCCATCTTCAAACAGAGGATCCTTATTCGAGTGCAGAGCCTCATGTGTCAGGGGTGAAGCGGTGAGTGTGGTGTCCCCGTGAGGCTGCGGGCAGGCCATAGGTTAGGCTTGGGTCTGGCCCTAGCTCATGGCGAGTTGTGTCCTGCAGGTCCCGTTCTGGGGAGGGTGAGGTTAGTGGCCTCATGCGCAAGGTGCCACGGGTAAGCCTTGAACGCCTGGACCTGGACCTCACGGCCGATAGCCAGCCGCCTGTTTTCAAAGTGTTCCCAGGCAACACCACCGAGGACTACAATCTCATTGTCATTGAGCGTGGTGGTGCCGCTGCGGCTGCCGGTCAGCCGGGGACTGCGCCCCCTGGGGCCCCTGGAGCCCCACCTCTGCCCGGCATGGCCATCGTCAAGGTGAGTGTACCCTGTGGACAGCAACAGTGGGACGTCACAGGTGGTTGGGCCCTGCTGGCCATCCCTCACCCACGTTCTCCTCGATAGGAGGAAGAGACAGAAGCAGCCATTGGGGCTCCGCCTGCTGCTGCCGAAGGCCCTGAGACCAAGCCCGTGTTGATGGCCCTTGCTGAGGGGCCTGGTGCGGAGGGCCCCCGCCTGGCCTCGCCCAGTGGCAGCACCAGCTCGGGCCTGGAGGTGGTGGCCCCTGAGGGTGCCTCAGCCCCATCTGGTGGCCCAGGTACCTTGGATGACAGTGCCACCATCTGTCGTGTCTGCCAGAAGCCAGGTGACCTGGTCATGTGCAACCAGTGCGAGTTCTGCTTCCACCTGGACTGCCACCTGCCGGCTTTGCAGGATGTGCCAGGGTGTGTGGTGAGCTGGGGGCTGGGGCTGGGCAGCGTGGGCAGGTGGGTTCCCGTGCAGGACCCTCACTCTGTTCCCACCCTCCAGGGAAGAGTGGAGCTGCTCACTCTGCCACGTGCTCCCTGATCTGAAGGAAGAGGACGGGAGCCTCAACCTAGATGGGGCTGACACCACTGGTGTGGTGGCCAAGCTTTCACCAGTCAACCAGAGGGTGAGGACGGGTGCTGCCGGGGTGGGGCTCGGGGTGGGGCTGCCAGCAGCTCTGACCAGCTGTGCTGTCCGTAGAAGTGTGAGCGTGTTCTGCTGGCCCTGTTCTGCCACGAGCCATGCCGCCCCCTGCACCAGCTGGCTACTGACTCCACCTTCTCCCTGGTGAGTCTGCCTGGGATGAGGAGGATGGGTGGGGAGGAGGCTGCTGGTCTGGTGCTCACCATGTGGCCTGTCACACTGCCTGCAGGACCAGCCTGGTGGCACTCTGGACCTGACGCTGATTCGTGCCCGACTCCAGGAAAAGCTGTCGCCTCCCTACAGCTCCCCGCAAGAGTTTGCCCAGGATGTGGGCCGCATGTTCAAGCAATTCAACAAATTGACAGAGGTGAGCCCCGCTGAGGAAGGGGGTATGGGCTGGGGTGGGGGCTGGGGAGGTCAGGCAGAGCAAAGAGCCACTGTCCACTGCACCTGCCTCCTGTCTAGGACAAGGCGGACGTGCAGTCCATCATCGGCCTACAGCGCTTTTTCGAGACACGCATGAATGAAGCCTTTGGCGACACCAAGTTCTCAGCCGTGCTGGTTGAGCCCCCACCGCTGAGCCTACCTGGTGCCGGCCTTGGGGCCCCGGAGCTGCCCGGTGGCCCCAGTGATGGCCTCTGAGGCTGGTGTCCCCATGGCCAGCCTGGTCTGGCTCTGCTCTCTGTCCTGTACCCCAGCCCCCTTGCCTCCTGGTGGCCTGGCTCCCACTCCCTGGTGGCCCTGTCCCCCAGCCCTTCACAATATGATTTTTACTTCTGTGGATTTAATAAAAACTTCACCAGTTCCTTGGACCTTGCTGTTGGGAAATTTGGGATGTAGCTGGTGGTGCTGAAGTGGCTGTAGAGACATGGAGTGGCCTAAGGGACCTTTTGGGAGCTCTGGTAGCATAGTGGCTAAAACACTTTGACTGCTAACCAGAAGGCTGGCGGTTCAAACCCACTAGCCACTCCTCGGAAGGAAGGTTGGGCAATCCTACTTCCGTAGCGATACTGCCTCGGAAACCCAAGGAGGGGTCGTTAAGAGTCGGGGCGACTCGACGGCACATAACAACAACAACAACAACAAGGGACCTTTTGCCTGGACTACCTGATTCTCAGTCTGGGAGTATATGGAAAAATGAGCATTGGGCTTGGACCCATGGGTCCAGTAGCCTGTGGGTTCAAGAGCCACGCATAACCCTGGAAAGTGGGTCACGTAGGGTGGAGAATGCACCACTTTGGCTGATCTGTGCCAGGGAGATCCAGGTTACATGAAGCACTGTAGCCTGGCAGCCCCACAGCAACTTCCTGGGGTGGGGGCTGCTGTGGGTATATGGCGTACAGGTGTTTGTCCACACCCCTGGTCTAACTAGCTGAAGCTCCCAACATCATCCTTCATCCTTGACCTAGATTATTCTCAGTTACTGAGTAGCTAAATCTTTTCAATAGAGATCTCTTTTACATCTTCACCTGTTGGTGTGACCTGTGCCCAAGTACTCACCAAGGCCCGCCAGGCTTTGGCATCACAGGGTCCAGGAACAGAAGGAGGTCAAAGCCTGGATGGTGTCTGCTCTAGCCAAACTTGATTTGCCCTGCGTAACACCACAGAGGTGCTGGCCAGCTGCCCTTGGGGGATAGATAGTAGACACAGGAGGCACCCTGATTGTAGCCATCCCCTGCACTAGGCTCTGAACACCCACCAGACCCTCAAGCCTAAAGTATCCCAGGTAGGCTCATTCTGCCTCGGAAAAATAAATTGCCCTAGAACGAACTCTCTTGTCCCACGCTAACCTTGGTCATGTGGCCTGTGTACCACCCGTGCCCCCTTCCTTGGTCTTGAGTGACCCCCCAGCGCAAGCCCTGCATCATGCATCACTGGGGCAGTCATTTCAGTCCTAGGACCTAATGGCCACTCTTTATTCCAGAGGGAGCATTAGCGGGCTCCAGGGCAGTCAGGGTAGGGCTGGGTGGTCAGTCCCGCCGCAGGTTCTTGAGTCGCTCCTCTAGGTCTGCATCTGCATCAGCCAGGGCTGAAGCTGCAGCCTCTGCTTTCTTCCCACCAGCAGCCACACTGAGCGAGCCCCCAGTTGAAGGGAGATCTGCAGGGAGAGTAGAGGTCAGGGAGAGAGCCCCCTCAAGGGAGAGCTGAAGGGGGTAGTGGGAGTCAGGGAAAGAACCCTCCAAGGAAGCCTGGGGAAGAGGGCAGGCCTGGGGCTGTACTGTGGTAGGAAATGGCCCATGGTTTGGAGCACTCACTGGACAGCTCATCTGTGAGGCTCAGTCCCAGCTCATCCAGGACCTGGGACACCACAGCATCACTACAGAGGAGAGGAGAGAAACCTGGTGAGGTTGGGCACAGCTGAGCAGCAAGTACGCGCCCCATTCTCCCACCTGGCATCTGCACACCTCTCCTCCTCGTCTTCCTCGTCACCCATGGCATCATCGATGGCATCATTCATCATCTCCTCTTTCATGTCCATGATCTCTGCCTGCCGCTCAAACTCCATCATGATCTTCTGGATCTGTGGGAGCTTCAGCTGGAGGGAGGGTGGGGGAGGGTAAGCCTGGGCCTGGGGGCCAACTGGGGCAGGAAGGGGTAAGAGGAGAGACGGACCTGTCTGTTCATGGTGCCCATAGCCTTGGTGACGCCCTTCATGGCTTGCGCCATTGAATTGTTGGACTTCAGCGTTTGGATCTTGAGGGACACAGCCTGGATATTGGCCCGCATCAGCACAAATTTGCGCACATAGCGCCGGGTGCGTACCAGGTCCTTGGCCATGATGCGCACAGCATCCTGTAGGGTGGACGAGGGTGGCAGGGAGGGGGCAGTGGGCTTCTGATCATTCTCCTACTCCTAGGCGCTTCTCATCAGCTGGGGTCTGTGGCACTCCCAACCCCCACCCCATCACTCCTGTGTGGCTCCCTTAGCATAGCTAAACCCAGTGGTCGTGCTTGCTCACTCTTGCCTTGGGCCACCGTCGCTCAGGCTTTTCTGTGGGATCTTTGCTTTCTGACCTGAATGCTGGCAGGTGCAGACTCCTCACTGGTCTTTTTCCTTTCACATCTATAGTCACTCCCTTGACTGCAAACACGTGTACCTTAAATTTCTATACCCAGCCTAGACAAAGAATCCACCTCTCTCTCTACCTTAGCCATCTCATCCAGAATCCAAAATTGACTATCCAAAGCTCAGCTTTTGGTTTCCTCCCCAAACCTACCCTTTCTTGCGTTACCTATCATAGTAAATGATACCTCTGTACAGCTGCTCAAGCCAAAACCTGTTGATAGTTCTCAGCAACACCTGTTCCTTCATGTCTCAATCTATACTTCAAATCCCATCCCTTATGCCTTTAAAGCAAATCTCCAACCCTCTGCTCCTCTCCATGACCTTGCCCCGGCCACCAGTCCAGGCTATCTCCTTTGTCCCTTCTCTCACTGGCCGTTGGCCAAAGAGTATCCCAGGCCTTGAACTCAGACCCCACTCTCACTGTGGCCCACATTCCAAGAGGTCTGGCTGCGGTGACCCCCTGAGCCTACCCAGAGCTCTTCCATCTTGGTGAGACATCCTCACCTAATGCTTGCTGTTTGGTCTACTCAAGACACTCTCCTTCCCCAGATCTTTGCAAGTTCTCCCTCTCTATCACTGCATCTTGGCCCTGACATCACTCGAGAGGAGTCCTTGCTGGAAGCCAAGCAAGGACTTGTGACAGCAATACCCGGCCACGCAGTGGTGCCTCTCCTGGTCTCAGCCCCTGCCCAGATGCACTCACCATCTGGCCCTGCTTGGCCATCTTCTTAATGTCTGCGATGATTTTCTTCTCCTGGGTCTCCAGCTTCTGTCTCTCCCGGTCCAGCTCCCGCATGGCCCGGTTGAGGGCCCGCTGGTTCTGTCGCAACAGTTCCTCTGGCGTCTTCCGGCGCCCAAACAACAGGTCCATGGCAGCAGGAACCCGCCGGCAGGCCTGGGTCAGGTGGGAGCCTATTGGCAGGGCATGGGGCCCAAACGCAGGGCGAGAGGCAAGGCTGGGATCATGGAGGGCTTGCAAAATGAGAAGGGGCAAGCAGGAAGAGGAGTGAACAGGTGGCCAGAGGGCACACTGGGTATTTTGGGGCAGCCCAGGGGATGGAAAAGGGTAGACCGCAGGACCTGAAAGTCATCCACAGGGTACCCACCCAGCCCCTCTGTCACCATGCCCCAAAGGGGTTGGTTAGGACACACAAAGCCCACACATCAGCTCTTGGGACCCGGTGTGAAGTCCTGGTGTCTCTGATGGACTACGCTTGGAGATGGATGTGAATGGATATACCGGGGAGCATTTGGAGCCCGAGCACCGAGGGCAGGGCAGTTGTGGGGGTTCTGAGGCTGAGGACGGGGCGTGGGCTGCATGAAAACTGGACCCCGGCTACCAAGAACATTGTCTGGGGCATTAGGAGCCCTTATACATCGAGGGGAGGAGCCCTGGTGGCTTAGAGCTCAGCTGCTAACAGAAGGCGGTTCGAACCCACTTGCTGCTCCGCGTGAGAAAGCTGTGACAGTCTGCTTCCGTAAAGACGACAGCCTTGGAAACCCCATGAAGCAGCTCTACTGTGTCCTATAGGGTAGTCGGCATGACTCCACCTCAACGGGTTTGGGTTTCTTATTGTACACCGAGGGCAGGGTTATGGGCGTCTGGTTACCCAGTGCATTGAGGGTAGTCTGGGGGCATTAAAGGACCCCCTACACTTAAGACGGGGCGATGGACATCAGAGAGCCCTGTATATTAAAGTCACGATCTGAGGCGTTGGGAGATTCTGTACACTGAGGACAGGGTGATGGGCGTCGGGCGCCCTGTACACTGAGGACAGACAGTGGGAGCGTTAGCGAAGCAAAAACAGAAATACGACGGAGAACCTGAAAGCTGAAGACTGGGATTCCGAGGAGGGGTGGGGCACTGGGCAAAGCTGGCAGATAATCCCCCCGAGCGCCGCCACCCGTGCGCCCGCCCAGGCCCCGCGGCCCCCCAGGGGCCACTCACCGGAGCTGCGACGGGACCCGTTTCCGCTTCCGGGTCACGTTACCTTCGCTTGGAACCCCGGAGCGCCCACCAACGACTGCCCCTCGGTGTATCGTCTCTGCTGCCGCCGCCGCCGCCGTTTCCGGATTAAACGATCTGACGTCATGCGCCCCGCCCTCTCCCGGAATGCCGGGAGGCGGCAGAGGCCAGGGAACGCGCGTGCGCACTCGCCCCAGAGCCGGCCAGGGGAACGCATGCGCACGGGATTCATCTTTACGCAGCCTGTTACACAGGTTCGACTCCCTCCTCCGGATACGCCCTAGCTAGCTAGTCCCAGGGTCTCGGGTCACTGCAGAGGTAGCATACTTTTGGACACCTTCTGCCCAGGCACCCCCTCGACTTCACTTTTCACCGTCTCACAATGGGCTTCCTCCATCGCCCAGTCCCCACGTCAAACCACTGTAGGGGCTTCACACCCAACACCAGCCCAGGGCTAGGTTCAGCAGACTAATGTCTCCAGCACTGGTCCACCAGGTAGATGCTTCCGCAGCGTGGTCACCCATGGCAAAAGAGAGCACAACTAGGGATAGCACAGACCTTCCCCCATGCTTCCAGGCCAGCTCATGGTAACCAGTTCCTGTCCCTTACTCACTGCAGGGTGGGCTTCCTCCCAGCCAGCCCAAGAATCTAAGGCCCTGGTCCCTCCACGATTGTCCCAGGCACTGAGTGACTTGCTCATGGTTCCCCAATGCCACCTGTAACCACACATCTCCCTCTGCCCCTCCTGGGGCAGATACCTGGGATCCATAGTGGATCTTGCCTGCCCCTCCAACTCCATACAACAAAGAAGATACAGAGGCCATGCAGTAACATTCCCCTTTAATAGCTTGGTGGGACCTCCGGTGGTAGAGGGGTAGGGTGCTGGGGTGCCAGTTACACAGGCCCCTCACCTATCCACCCCAGTGCTCAGGGTGGGGGGGCTGGATAGCACCCAGCGGGGGGCTAGACAAGCCAATTCATTTCCCATCGCTGAGCGGGTCAGGGGAGGCAGCGCCGACCTTAATCACATGGTGGTTAAAAAAAAAATAATGAGGGGCTGGTGGCAGGAAGGGGAGACAAGGCCAGAGGAGGGGATATTCCCCCACCAGCCGCCCCACGTTCCCCACCTGTGGCCCCCAATAAATATTTGCAGGGGACGCTGGGGCTGGTGGCCCTAGCAGGGGTGGGATAGGCGCCAACCCTATTTCAGGCAGCGCTCAAAGTAGGTGGAGCCGATGTAGCCACCTCTCATGGAGCGCTGCACGTTCTGCTCAAACAGCCGTCGGTTGTTCTGCAGGACCTCAGCGGCCTCCTTGTTCAGTGGGTCCTCGGGGTTGGGCTCCTGCAGGCAGCAAGGGATGGCTCAGCAGGGTGAAGGGGCAGAGGGGCTGGGTCGGCCTCCCACACCCCCAAGCTTTGCCTGTTTGTTTCTACTCACCAAGAAAAGATACTGCAGGCCATAAATTATGGAGTTTATTGTAAGGACTGGCTTCCAGTCCTCTCTGTGGATAGAATGTCAGTGTCAGAGGCTGCGGAGCAGGTAGCTAGCTGCTGCAGTCCCTGAAAGGACTCCATGGGTCAGGCACAGGGCATGGGAGAGCGGGGATGTGAGGCTGGGTACAGTGTGCAGAGGACAAGCCAGGGAGAAAACCAAGGTCAGGCCATGAGGGAGAGTATGTGGAGATGGAAGGGCCACAGAGACACAGACTGTGAGGGGGAAGGAGGTGCAGACACAGATCCGGAGCCCACGAGGGAGGTCGAGAGGCAGGGCTGGGGTGAGGAAGCAGCAGCAGAGGGCCAAGACCTCACCTGAGGATGTTGAGGCAGACATTGCCCTCAAGGTCGATGTTGGGGTGATAGACCATTGTCTCACACTTCACCTTGGGGGGGTCATGTGGGTAACCCTGACCCACCTCGGGAGAGAAAAGAGAACAGGTGGGTAGGTGCCCATCAAGGCCTCAGTCACCTCCTCCTCAGTCCAGGGAGCCTCTGTCCCTGACTGCCTGGGACTCACCTTAAAACTGAATACAAACTTGCCGCTTTTGTAGAAGCCCTGCCAGTGGGAGCAAAGAGGAAGGTGTCAGGGCCCAGTTCTGCTTGAGTCTGGCAGGCAGACTGGGTCTTCTTCCTTGTGTGTGTGTGCGCGCGCGCGCGTGCGGGGGTGCACCCAGGGTCTGTGCAGGGGACTCAGGCCAATATAGTCTCTCACCTCATCGGGACAGATGACCAGCTTGAAGTTGAGGAGGTCGTCGGGGTCTGAGAAGTTGATATCACAGGTCTTGGGCAGGTTCAGCTCGTTTATGTCTGGGTTTGGGCAGTGGGGAAAGGGAACAGAGAGGAGGGTACTTAGGGTAGGTTCCTGCAAGGCTCCCATGGCCTCCTTGAGGACTCTTGGAGCTCATTCTGACCTCTACACCCCAACCCTCTCCCTGCCCTCCCTGGTGGGTCGACCCTCACCCCTGAGATGGGAACTTCTGAATCCCCAGCATACCCCAAATGTGCACCTACAAATGCAGCTGTGAGTCCCGGCTCCTGGCCCAGGCTGATCCCCACCTCCCACTCATGTCTCCAGTCCCCAACACTTGGGTCTTCCAAAACCGCTCCCCGGTGCCTCACTTCCATGCAGCTCACCACCTGCTCCCCACACCCTTGGCCCCCAGCATCCTGGGCCCAAACAGCCTCTGACCACCCCAAACTTTACATTCCACAGGCATGATTCTCTCCAGTGAACACTGCTCATCCCCCGTGACCCAAACTCCTGAATCCCCACTCTGATCCCCCGAGTAGTTCCTCATCCCAATCTCAGGCCTCCACCATCCCTCTCTCATACTCCTGTCACCCCAAAGACCCAACCCTACCCCACTCCGTGTGACACTCCCATTCCCAGCGCTCCTAGCACGATACTCTGTGTCCTCCCTCACCGCCACTGGCTCCTCCGCCTGTCACCACGAAGCCAGGGTCCAGTCTGAGTCCTAGACCCGTGCGTCCCGGGTCGTCCCCCCCCCACGCCTGCTCCTCTGATTTCCGGGTCCCTCATACCAGATACTCGGTTTTCCTGGTAACCTAAAATTTCTATCCCCAGCCCCCACCTCTGACCGCCCCCGCGACTGCATCATCCCATCCCCCATCCCCCTACTTCCTACGCCTGACCTCTGACCCCCATCTCTGACCCCCGGCGACCGCAATACTCCGCCCATGACACCCCATCCTCAGGCCTTGACCTCCGGCCCTTCAGTCCTAAACCCCACTGCCTGATCCCCACTACCCTACCCTTCTGGATCCGCAGCTGCGCCGCCGACGCCTTCTTGCTGCTGCCCTTGGTGCCGCCCGCCGACTCCTCCTCCTTC